TGCGCAAGAAATTATATCAGACATGTATGGCTTCGTCTAACATCCATGTTGCACGCTGTTGAATCCATGTCGCCACTCGCCAGAAACGTCAGAAATGACCTTCGCTGACAGCCATGGCCTGAAGTTGACCTGCCATAGGTCAGCAACCTTACAAGGCAGATTCAATTTTGATATCAAAACATTTGCTATGCAGTTATCTGCAGCTACGCAAAGTTTGTTGCGGCTACACCGCGCCGTTCGGAAATGATTTTGGGAAAAACCTTTGAGGTGGGGTCAAGTTGACCCCCCCCCTCCCTCCCCCACCCAAACGCCTGTTAACGAAGGTAAGAATAAAAGTAAGACGCAAAAGTCTTGCCTCTTCCAAATCAAGTGTGCCCCATCCCAGGATTTTTGGGGAGGAATCCCTCGTCATAAGGGGTCTTTTGTCAAGGCAGTGACTCCGCTTACCATGGCTCTGGCTGCGCTTCTGTCAACATTGCATCAACTTCTGAAATACCACGTCAGTATTTCATCTTCTCATACGCGCCACTGCATTCGCCAGACGGTTCTCATCTCAACATCATTGGTGGCTGTAATGAATGGCATGTCTTGGTTGAAAACAAATTCATGTATAGTTGTTGCCTTGATCTACGTTTCTACCACCAATGATAATTTATTTTCGTTTTGGCAAATCTTTTTTATTTCTGATGTATGCAGACCCATTTCTCACTGTCCTAATCTTAAGCTTGCACCATTGGCTCATCTGCATCAACCATCTTGGTCCTTGCCCATTGTCATGATGCTCACAGTGCACGTGAGGTGACATTGTCTGTCACTGCACCATTTTTTAGTGCTTCCCCGCTCATGTGGATCTTGCTGCTCTCATCTTTCCTAGCATTATTCTTGCATAGCCTTCATTGATGGCATGATACATTGAGTCAACTAATGCTAGTCACCTGACGGCATTTCTTTTCGTATTTTGTTCTTGCGTTTTTTATTGGTGTACTCCAGCCAACCTTTTATTCACCTTGGCGTTCAGTTCGCTGCCCGCTGCAACCTTAGCAGCTGCACATAAGACGCATAGTTCCTGGATTTTTCGTCTAAATTTAACGATGACTGTGTTATTTTTCAGCTCCGAAAGGTCGCTGTCAAACTTTTGTATGATGATTTTAGGATCGGCCATATTAGTACGTCCACTGCTGAACAAGTTTTTCCTGTTTGGGCTTGTTTAAACACCACAACCACCTCAGCTACTTGCAATGTTTGACGCGTCGTGATAGCGTATTTCAGCTTTCGTTTAAAATCACATCTTGTCACTTTTTGAACGTACAGAATTCCGCACCATGGGAGTAACTGAGCTTTGCAACAGCGATTGGGAAGCTGGACTGGAGGTGGGAAATTCTCTTGAAGTCCTTCGAGTACTAACTTTCAGGTCGACACCAGGTCAGCGACTGAACAGTTCGAAAAACAGCATGTGTGCCCCACAGCTGTTGGCGCAGCGCACACGAACGGGCTGGAATCCGAAGTCATTGTACTCATGCCAGAGTCCCAATAGAGGTGTTTGCATTGGGCCGCGTAGTGGCCTGAATGCGCCACGGCGGAATGGCGTGTCACGTCTTACAGGCTGCACCTCCAGTCTCCCGGTACGACAGAGTATGGCGACAGGTCCGGGCCGCTGGTGGAGAAGTCTATTGTGGTACTGAGTTTGTCTCCGCACTGACTCTGCCGCAGCAAGGAGCACTTCAGGTGAGCAACGGAGACACGCAGGAACCTCTGAATCATGAAGTTCTTGGAGCACTTCCGACGCTTCTGGCGCGTGGAACACGTTGGCTTTTCCTCTCCGTCAAGCACCCTTTGTTGGTAGAAATGTCACAGCAGTTCTGCAGTTGCAACTGGCCCGTTATGAATGGGATCGACAGGCTCGGGTCCGAGAACGGCTCAACCGCCATGGATGCGTGGCCACACACCGTGCGCCGCAGTGTGGACTTGAGCTGGCCGACGAACAGGTCAACGAACTTCGAGTTCGCAAGCACAGGAAACGCTTCCAGACCTCCAGCGGCCTCTGGCTGGCACTGAGGCTGTCATGGATGCGGGTGGTGACGGGCGTGGGTTGGTATATGACGCCGTTCACGTTCCCGTGCCTCCAGCAGGTACGTGAGGAACTCTTGCGCGCGCTGCTGTTGACAGTCCATGAATCGAGCCACAAACCACTGATTTGTACCTTCAACGGGGAGGTGGTCAGCGCCCGGTCAGCCTCATCTCATGTAGACCTCACCCCATCCATAGGCCTCGCATTAGCGTGGGAAATGCTCTGATGGGAGAACCCTTCATGGCGGAGGTGGACGTGCTGATGTCTATCGAGTTCTTGTCTCGTAGGAAGCAGTCATGCAGTGCACGGATGTTGCTCAGACGTTGCAGCGCCGCGTTCATGAAGTAAGTATTGTTAATGTTTCGGAGTCCTGTAGCACGGAGCGGCCGGGCCTGGACAGGCAGCCGGGCAGAGCTGCACAAAGCATTCTGATTTCGCTTCGGGTTTTTACTGTTTTTGTAATAAGTCAATCTGATTGTGGCATTCGACGGTTTAAATGATGATCTGTAAGAGGTCTGTATAACGGTTCTTTCCTTGAATGGTGGCGCAGTCACAGCATCATAATAGATGTCTTGCCCCCAGTATGACCCTTCAAACTCAAAGGAAAGAAATTGTTGGGCCCAAACAAGCTTTGCCATTCATTGCTATGCTTCACAGCAATGAAAGTAATACTTCTCGCGCCAAACACATTGGATTTCTGTGCAATCCAGACGTTTTCCCACCATTTCAGTGTGAATGGTCTTGCCTTGGTGTACCAGTTATTCCTATCGTACGTCTTCGCATGTGCACTTCTTCGTACCGCATTTGTTTTTATCTGATTTCTTGGCGTTGGCAATTCTTCATGCGAAATTAATCTACATACGCCATTATTTATTTACAATTTTTCAGGCATTCATGTCATTCATTTCATCGGAATTACTCGAATTTCCAAGTCTCTGGGCGGAGGGATCCAAATGCGCTTAATCAAGTCTTTTGTAGGTTGCGCTTCACACATGTGTGACTCTCAAACCAATGAGCAAAAAATAAAGTAGGTTGATAAGTGAGCGCTTACGTTTTGGACAATGCTCAAACGACAGAAAATGCATTGCATTTGATGACGCCATTCATGTTATATGTGTTGTGATGCCACTGCCTTCCTTGGATAGTGTATTCTGCCACAGGCTTGTGACTCACGAGTCAGTGGCGTCAGAGCCTCGTTGGGGCAAAATCGACCCATTCTTTGTCATGCAATACCCGAGGGCGAACGTTAAATTTGTTCACAATTGGAGGATGTGTCCCTCTGTCCTCTCCTAATCCGCCGTCCCCGCTCTGGACAGTGGCCATTGAACCTTACCTGTTCGTGTGTTTACTGCAGGCTGCTGCTGAGCGCAGCTTTTCACGCCGTAACTTCGTGCAGTGCCGCCAGATTGACCCGGTGCACTCGTTTGCTTCAGTGCACGGTGCATTGTTTATTTGCTGACGCGATCATTGCTTGCAATCGAACCTTTCTCCTTTCATGACGGAAGGCTGAACGCTTAGTTATCCAGAACCAGTTTACACCGCCGTGCCCATGTCCGACATGTTGTCCGGAAGTATGTCCAGTTGCATAGTGAATACGTACCCAGTTGTTCATGTCCACCGACCGGACCCAGATTTTACGGTTGTACAAGGCTACAGTGACAACAACAGTTACAGTTGTGCAAGGCTGCTGTTACAACAATAGTTACAGTTGTGCAAGGCTACCATTTTAAGCATGTATTTATGCAGCCATTTTCGGTTTGCTATGTACTGGATGTGTGATGGTTCGAATTAATACCGTCTACCCTAAAATCAAGACGCCCGCTGGAAATCGTTTCGGTTGTCGTGTTTGAAATGGTCCGGCGCGTGCACCATCCTTGAATTGGGTTCCGCCTCGGCAAGGATACTACCGCGGCCTCCACCGAACTCGGCGTGTCGCGCCACACTCGATTGTGTTTCACGCATCATCAAGTCGTCTGCTTCATCGCAGTCTGATTGCTGATGACATCGGAAGACGTAATTATTTGACTTCCTGGCGTGCCCCGGTACACGGTTTGATTTGTCCGAAATAGGTTTTTTGCAATCTTTATCATCACTGATCTCACATTATTTCCGCTGAAGTGTCTTTGCAGAGCCAGCTAGGAATTCATGCGCAAAAACATTTCACTACTTATATACTTCAAATACTTAATACTAAATACTTGAGTGATGATGACAGCCGCCCTATTCCCAATAATCCTTTCCCGGCACATGGGCCATCCATTTGCATCTATGACTTCAGAATGGTCCTGATTTCCCTCGGCACCTGTGCGACAGATACGTTCTTTGATATGTTTCGTTGGAATTTGGGGGCAACTAACTCAGGTCAATTTGCGGTCGACGGATATATATATATATATATATATATATATATATATATATATATATATATATATATATATATGATCGCGGAGAAGGCTACAATCTTGGATACGATCGGATATACATAGTTGGATTGCTCAAGGTACAACGTTCGACTTGTAGGGAAACCACAAAATGAATATCAAGTCCACCTAGATTTTCGGGCCCATGTACTGAGACTCAAGCCAACGTATCTGTTGAAATGTGTTGTTTCGCGCTAACTACCGATCATATCCATCACAGAAATGCAAAGCTTCGAGCTGATTTCCGATAGTTCCCCGCAGTGTTCCGTTTGACCACCGAACTCCCCCCCCCCCCCCCCTCCGCCCGCTGACCCATGCAGGCATGTGCAGTGTCGTGATTTAGGTCATCTGTTGGCGCCTCCGGCTGTGCCGAGGCTGCGCTGGCGCAGTAAGACGGGACACCGCCGGAGGCGCCACCGGCCGCGCGTGACGTCAGGCGCGCAGCGGCCGAGCAGAACTGGAATTACCCGAACGCCGGAGCCGCCGGCGGCCGCCTTTAGAGGTCGCCGCGACTCGCGTCTAGCGCCAGTGCGCCGCCAGAGGTCGCCGCGGGAGCGCAGAGGAGCAGCGGCAGCTTGGAGACAGGTGCCCGCGCAGACAGACGGAACGCTACTGGAAGTGCAAAACTACCGAAACATGAATCCAGGTGAGCCGCGTTCGTCGGTGCGGCCGGCGCCACCGTACATGGGCTGTGTCAGTGTCCACAAAGTGGGTGGTCTCGTGGCGGCACCGCCTACGCGATTCGCTCCTAGCCCGGGCTTCAAGCAGCCGTCGCTTCAGCAGGAGGCGTTACCGGTTTTTTGCTTGCGGGGCCCAATGGGAGATTGACATACACCGCTGGAGAGCGCTGCTTGCATTCGCACGGGCACACCAAGGTGAGAGACCGGTGGCCAATTACAGGTGGGGAAGTAAGACGTGGCCGGGTAAACGAACGTGGCATGCGGATATTGACAATCGTGGGTGTTCATGTGGAGGCCGGGTAGGCGCAGTGATGCGAAGCCGGTGACTTTAAATTGCTCGGGCCGCATCAGAGCACCTGGGCATGTTTTGCTCGGCCCTCGTCGGTCGGCTGGCGGATTTTTTATCGCTCCGGGCGCTGGAAATCCCAAACCGGTAGGTAGCTGGCAAAGACCTTCACGGCTTATAAAACTTAAGCTAGCCAGATAGATGACAAGATGAAACGAACAACGCCGTTGAACGCTTCGGGATTCAGGAGTTACACTTATGAGCAAGGAGGGCCTTGAGTTCCTGGTTTTTCGGCACCATGAGCTGAGAATTCTTATCCTGGCAATGGTCGACCTTCAATGTACTAGGAAGTGCTGGTTCAGCGAAGTTATCAAGCAAGCGTTGGTTATGGTCATACAACTTTACGTTTGGAGCTGTGTTTATGGAGCATTTCGGATCATTGATGTAAGCAGAGGCCTTGTAACTGAACTGACCTTAAAACCTTTAAATGCCTACCCACGTGCGATCTGACATGCTAACGGCGCACCTGCGGAACCCATCCCCACCGCGTGCACCAGGTTAGAGTTTCCGTGACCGTTGAATCTGGCTGTAGGCGGATCCACCGAGGAGCGCTCCCCGGGAGGGAATCACGGCTTGTGCAGGGCTGCCAGTGCCGACACGTGAGGGGGCGGCATGAGCCGGTCGGGCCCGGCCGGTGACGCGTGCCGCTGAACGGCCTCTGCTCCGTTGCAGGTGCGGCGCTGCTGCTGCTGGCGGCTCTCGGCTGCTCGGCCGCGACCAGCTCGGCCCGGGAACGCCGTCAGGTGCCGCCACAGCGAGCCGCCACCCGCGCGGCCGACCGCTTCACCATCACCGAAGCCATCATCGAGTTCGCCACCGACCTGGCCTCCCTCCGCCTGCGCGATGGAAACATGGTAATGTCGCCCTTCTCCATCGTCAGCGTGCTGAACATGCTGCTGCTGGGCTCCACCGACAACACTTACGAGCAGCTGCGCGTGGTGCTGAAGTACCCGTTTGAGATGGACGACCTGCTGATCCACCAGCAGAGCGGGATCCAGCTGACCTCGCTGCGTCGCGAGGCGCGCGGCATCAACGTCCAGATCGCTAACCGCATCTTCACCGATTCGCGGTTCACCATACAGGAGCGCTACATGCGCGACGCGCGCGACTTCTACCAGGCGGGCGTAGAGCAGCTGGAATTCGGCAAGCAGCCGGCCGTGGCCCAGCGCCGCATCAACCAGTGGGTAGGCGACAACACCAACGGCAAGATTCCGCGCCTGCTGGACAGCCCTCCGCCGCGCAACACACGCATGATTGGAGCCAATGTCGTCTATTTCAACAGCTCCTGGCAGTTCCCGTTCGACCCAAGCTTGACCAGGAAGTTGAGGTTCCACCCGGACGCGCAGAGGGTCACGAAGACGACGATGATGTTCGCGCAGCTGGAGGTGCCGTACGTCAACTACCCGTCGCAGGGCATGAAGGCGCTGGCGCTGCCGTACGAAGGCGGCGACTATGCCATGTACATCATGCTGCCGGATGAAGCCGGTGAGAAGCCGCTGGCTCGGATGGAGCGGAGCCTGGCCGGCGGCCGGCTCCAGCGCGTCTTCGAAGACATGCAGCTGGTGAACATCTCCGTCTGGCTGCCGCGCTTCAAGCTTGAGCACTCGCTGGCGCTGCGTGACGCACTTCAGGCGATGGGCGCCACCGACCTGTTCCAGGAGTCGCGCGCTGCGCTGAACCGGATGTCGCCGGACCGGCAGCTCTTCCTCAGCGAGGTGCTGCACCAGGCCGTCATCGACGTGCACGAGGCGGGCACCGAGGCGGCCGCCGTCACCACCACGCTGGTCAACCGCGACCGAAACGCTAAGGAGTTCCGCGTCGACCGGCCGTTCCTCTTCATCATCCGCGACAACAAGACGGGCGTGCCGCTCTTCTGGGGCCGTGTCGTTGAGCCTGAGGCCAGCTAGGGGGTGCACTGGGTCGGGAGCGGCCGCCGAGCACCACCGGGCCGGTCGGCCGTGACGTCGCTAGCCGCGCCGTAGGCACGCACATCGTCTGGGCTCGGGACGGCCGGGCGCCGGCGCTGGAGCACCGGCCTCGCCGCGTTCGCTCCCGCTCCGGCGGTGCTCGGTGAGTGTCCGAGTCCTCAGTCCTCAGTCCTCAGTCCTCAGTCCTCAGCCATCCTCTAGCGACAGTCGGCCGGCCGCCTGTCAACTTCGACGCTGCAGCCTCCGCCCGCGCGTGCTTCGACGTCTGGGGCTGAGCTGTGATACGAGGCGCGCCCTATGCCGGTTCGTTCTTGGTCGAACCGCGAGCTCGTCACAGACGTAAGATATACACAGCGTCGCTAAACGTACAGCTATATCGGCCGCGCGAGCTCCAAGGGAGTAACATGAATGTGCCTTCGCTCGGACGGTTGAAGCGTTGATCGTCCATTTCTTAAGTGGACTGGTGTTTTAACTCGGGTGAAATATAATACGCACCGTGGAGTATGCATTGCCACCTCGCAGCGCCTGTACGTCGTTTTTAGAGCAATACATGACTGTTGACGTAATGCAGCTTATTGCGAGTGAGATCTATGAGTGATGACCTCAAGCACAAGCGAGGGGAATACCACCTGACTGCATATCACAGTGGTCAATACGGAGAGCACCTGCGCCGAGCACGCTCGCCCCAGAATGCAAATCATCACATTTCACCATGATTTACCACAGGGTTTTCTGCTTGCTGAAACGCTTAGATCTGAGTCTCACTTCGGCACAGTCTCGCTTCGAAAACTTTGCGTGACGGGAAATCGAAATGTCCATTTTGTTGTAATAGCAATGTTTTTTCACTTCAAGACAGCTCAATTTCCAGCTTGAGGTCAATCATACCAGCTCCTCTGCGGCAAAACTTTCGATATATTTTGCAAGATATGTTATTGAAACTGGTAAATCGAGGACTTCAATATGTTGAAATGAATGACATGGCTCGCTGCTTAGCCGGGTTGGCATCACGCTTAGGTGGCGACGTGCCCGATAGTTGGGAGCCGGGTCAGGAGCTTGACAGGACATATTTTTCAGCAAGAGCTGTTCGTGAGGGTAAGGAGTGTGCTCCAGAAGCCCTGGCTACAGTTGATGTGCGACAACGAAGTTCTTTGCCCTGATGAGCTGGACTCTCACACCCCGATCTGTCGCCGGCTCGTCGCGCGCCGTCGCTGGGAAATCCAGGCATGCGTCCAGCAAACGGTAGTACTCGGGGCGTAACCACTGTGAGGCTGGCAGGGCCGACAAGCTGTTCACAAAATCCTCTTAAGAACAGCACGCAGAAAACAATGCGATACTCGTACAATCCTCTTGAAAGGAGGTCTGCCCCAGGTCACCAAGTGGAATCTTTCCTGGTTCAATCAGATCCGCAACGCTTTCTTTAGCCCCGTTGGCAAGGCCTTCAGCACAGCTTGCACAAGAAACACACCGGGTCAGCGACGTAACCCGTGCACTGCTGTGCACTGCAGGGTGCGGCATTTACAGAGGCAACAAGTCAGCCGGGTCCGGCATCGCGTAGAAAGCAATGGGTCGCACAGTAAGCAACCGGGTCGCACAGTAAGCAATGAGGCGGTTCTATGCGGTATCAAACATTCACCCAGTGTTGGCACTCAGCAGCATTTGAAGGCGCCACCTGGACCTACCGGAGCGACCCGCCACGACCCACCACGACCTGTCACGACCTGTCGGGAGCTGCCGCGACCTGTCACGACCTGTCACGACCTGTCGGGAACTGCCGCGACCTGTCACGACCTGTGACGATCTGCCGGGAGTCTTCACGTCCTGTCACCACCTGTCGGGAGCTTTCACGACCTGCCACGACCTGTCGGGAGCTATCCTTGTCTGGGCACCACTACTGGAGGTCCTGACTGGGGTCGGTTAAAGTACCTCTACATATCAACTCCAGGTATGCGTGGATGGGGTAATATATGAACCTTCGGCACGTTCACCATCTGGGATTCTCACCTTTCCACTGCCGTGACAGATTGCAACGAAGTTATCATCGGCTCGGAACACGCAGGTCATCATAACGTGAGTCGATCTTACGTATACTTCTGAATATGCTGGTCATTTTGCGCAACCAATTTGTTGTGAATCATCTGGCAACCGCTCCCCGAAAACATGCAGTAACTCAAAACAATCCTGATCTCTTCCCTTCCAGTCACTTCTAGTAGGTCTAGGTTCGATCATTTATCTGACTACGGGCTAAATTACGAGCTATTACTACCGGCTAAATTCGTGCTTTCCCATGCGTCATCCACACGCCTCTTCCCCGCCAAACTGCTCTTTTCCATGCACCCACGAGACAGCACAGCGAATGTCGAAAACATATAATCTCGAGCAACCACCCAGCTATCCCGAGGCTGAACAGATGACGCATGATGTCCAAGAAACTTAATCTTAAAAAAACATAACTACGGCATTGGCAACACGCTCTGAGTGCGCACGCGGGTAAAGAACGACGGGCTAAGCCTCGGCTGTGCATGTTTCCAGCCGGCCACACGGTCCTGACCAGATAAGCCCGCAGAGCTTGCGCCGGGCTATGATCCAAACCTCAGCCGGCGGTGGGCTCAGGATGAGCCTGCGATCATTATCCGCGCTGAGACTGCCGAGCGGAGTCGCCAATTACAGCGCACGATATCTACTAATGCGACCCACCTACAGTGAAATATTTAACGGAGTCACTTGTGGCAACAAACTGCAGAGGAGGGAGACGTTGAGCCGTGCAGTTCTTGCAAATCAAGTCAGCACAGTCATGCCTTGATAATGCATGACATAGAAATGGGCGGGGCTGCACGGAATGGAAAGGAAACACGGAACATGGCATGGCCCTTCCGTTGATCGTGGAAGGGTAACATTAAACTTGTGGCGATGCACGCAAAGGTAAACTAGAAAATAGGTTGCCTCCTTCCACCCGCACAAATACACGCTTCACAAAATGGCCCAACCAAGCCCCTTCTGGCCATGTAAATCACACTACGTATACATGCATTTCAGCTATATGCGGCCGATAGCTGGCAACGGTGCAGGGCCCTGGAAGCAAACATATATAACCTGTAAACAAGCCTCGCAGTGTGTAACTCACTAACGTCGTCCAGCCATGGCCAAGGTCACGCCACGGTCCACGGCGTCAGACAATGGTTCTCGGGAAACCGCCGCTGGTAAACACGGGAAATTGTCGCTCACTGCAATCCCCACATCCGGCTTGGCCAGGAAGCTCGGCAGGTGGTTCGCAGAAGCGCACGTCTTACGTTTTCGTCCGCGATACAAACGTCGCTGAGCGAGGTGTGGGCGGGCGGGACGAATAGTAACGCCCGCGACGTGTGCAGCACTGCACTTCGTAGCCGCAGTCAATGCACCGGATGCCGTGCTTCCCAGGAATAGGGTGTCATGGCCAGTGACGCACTCGTAAGGCGACACGCACGCCTCCCACGCGGCATACCGTGTATACGGTCTGTGTATGCGATCTGTGACGTGGGAATCGGCAAAGTTTCTCGCTGCTTTTTTAATATTCATATTCATGCTGTCCTTTACATGCGGATCGGATTCGTTTTCCGATGGCATTTTCAATGTTAATTTTGACGCCATCGATACACTGACGATTATCAGCCTGCAGTATGCCAGGAGATATCAGCGCACACGCCCTACACGCACCGTTAAGCGTTGCTTACGTATGCAATCGCAAAGAGATCAGTTGACTTTCCGGCTGGCATTTTCAACGCTAGTGACGCATTAATAGACAATGATAATATCCTAGCTGCATTATAACAAGAGACACGTACACTAATAAACAGACAATACACGTTAAAAATCACTATATTAACATATCTTCATTCGGTTTGTTATGCATAACATCAATAAGCCGTACTCAAAGTTCGTATAAAGGACAATGATTGATCATGATTGTGATCATGATAAGATTATGATTTAAGCTCTAATCAGTTTTCGAAATAATGTGTGCCGAGCAGCATCTTCTGGCCTAATGAGGCATTCGTAGTACCATGACGGTAACGTTGCAATTGGCGAACCTGGCATCAGTGGTTTCCCAATCAGAGACACCTCTACAGTGGCCGTGATGCACTGCTGGCAGCTGGCGGGCGAGAGCGGGCTGGCCGGAGCTGCGGGTCCGCGGGGGCGTCCTTGTCCCGGTGACGTCGCCCGCGCCGGCCGGGCTGGCCCCGTTTCTCGGGTCGGGGGTGCGGGCGCTGGGATGCGGGCGCCGCCGGCACGAGCGCCGGAGGCGATAAGGAGCCGCCGGCGGCCGCCGCCGCCAGTGCTGCATCATGCGGCCGGCGGGCGTGCTCCTCCTGGCGGCAGCCGTGTCGGCACAGCGGGAGCGGCCGCCCGACAAGCAGCACGTGCGGCCCCGGCACGCCTCCGCTGACTTCACGGCGCCGTACCCGCCGCAGCAGCTCGGGTGAGCAGGTCCGGCCCCGGCCCTCGGCGGCAGTGCTAGGCCCGGACTCACGTCAACGGAGTCAATTCCCATTCCGCTATAACGCGTAATTCCAGTCAGACTTGACGCATCATGCATTTGTGAAAAACGTCGATTTCGACGCAAGAAGGCGTTATCGAAATCGAGTGTGTAGTCGGACACAAACGTTCTGGTCCCGGTCGACCTTTGAAGATTTCCGAGTCGATTCCAATAGCAACATTTTAGAACACACGCCCGTAAATGGACGACGCATTCACAACAGGACATAATGGACACAACACAATCATTAGTTTCAGTGGGGCCCAATTCATCGCTGTACCGTATGACAATACCCTCGATCACTGCAGACGCTTAAATGCTATGCCAAATGCCAATGCCAAATAGGCGTTTGGCACAACCGGCATTCCGGGCAAAATCGAGACCGCTCAGTCATTTGAAGCTCCCGATTTATTGGTCACTGATTTTCATATGATTACCGACGCAGCTATATTTGCACCGACCCCGGCAAGCGTGGCTCGGTGGTTCGGACGCCTGAATGTTTAACGTGGCAGGCACACGGGTTTGAGTTCCAGAAGCGGAACGCAAACACACGGCGTTCCAATCGCCGTCGTTGGCCGGGGTGGCTACCGGCACAAACCTCGACGTGCCGACGCCATCTTGAAGACTTACTCTGAATGAGTCATGAACTAAAAACGAGCTTAGAACCACATGGTCAACGTATGAGGAGGTGTTACAGTTCATTATATCCTATGAGGCGAAAGAACAATGAAACATATTGGTCAATCAACCGAACATCAAACCTAAACGGCCATGTATAGTTATGCCCGTTTATCAGTCGGCTGCGGTTATCTAATCTGTCAGTTTGATCAGATTTTATTTTAAACTTCCAGTGTTCTTGTGGCATTTCATGAAGTGCCTGAAGCATATATTTTTTTCTCTTTATATATACTTGTACCCATATATATGTATATATGTATAGGCATAGGTATATATAAAGAGAAAAAAATGTTTCAGGCACCATATATATATATATATATATATATATATATATATATATATAGGCATAGGTATATATAAAGAGAAAAGAATGCTTCA